CATGGTACAATGTTTATGTTTATGTAATATGTTTATGAAGTTCTACACAGAAATCTCACCAAAACCGTTTTAGATGAATCCGTCTCGGTCAGAATGATCTGTGGAGCGGTAGTCAAAGCTTACTGAGCCATAGAATGGAGCCATTGTTAATGTTATCAGTAATACCTGTGCTTGTCCTACTGTGACAAGTCAGAATGCCTGCTGTGAAAATGGCCCATGGAGCTATGTGGCACAGAGGAATAAGCTATCAGGCTTGGATACATACACAGTACTTGTTAGAAGGACAGATTTATTGTTTGCTTTTTCATTGGATTTGCTGACAATAAGAACCAGACTCATTCTTGGATGATATTTCAAAATACAAATCTAGTTTATTTGATTTTTATGGGTTGTTGGTAAAAAAATAAAATCTGCCTTGATTCACTTCTCTCACTGTTCCCATCTGTATTCTGCTGTACTAGCTGCCTTTTTGGCCCTGCTATACACACGCACTAGTGCTCTCTACCTTCTCACCTCTCTGTCTCTCTTCCTATCTGCTCTCCGTCTCCCTCCCTATCTTTGTGAAGGCTGGCTAATGACACTCTTCCAGATGGCTTTCCTACACTGTGTGTGTGTGTGTGTGTGTGTGTGTGTGTGTGTATGTGTGTGCTGGCCAGGTTTGAAAAGGATCTTTCATCTTCCTCTTCCTCTGACAAAAGAATCAGTCCAGTCAGCACAGCTGTCTATCTGCCGCCTCTTTTCTCTAGCATGTCCCGATTAATCCCAGCGTCGTGCTGCACAGCTCAGTCTCGGCCTGCGCTCTCCTCCACTCCTTTAATTCTTGCTTTTTTGACATATCAGTCTTTTGCACTATTTCTTCCTCTCTACAGTCTTATTCTCTCTCTGTTCCTCCTTTTTACTCTGATCTTCCCTTTCTCCTCCCACTTCTTCTCTGGCCTGCTCTCTTGCCTCTAAATCTCCACCGTTCTGCTCCATCATTGTTTCCACCCAGTTTCTTCTCCCTTTTTCCTTCTGTTTCTGTCTTTCTTTCTCCTTCTCTGTGTCTGAGTCTCTCTGTGTTTCTGCCTCCTCCCCTCTCCTCTCCATCCTTGGAGTCCTCAGTCTTTTCTTTGCTGTGTAACAGAGAGTGACATGTTTGGCAGTTCCTCTGCTCTCTCCTCTCATAAGGAATTACTGTCCTGACCCACTTCCACATGCAGCCGCTGCCACATCACCATGGCTGTAGAACCATTTGTGTCACTAACTGCCCAAAAGAAAGATGTGCAACTACTGGACCAACCTATTATATATATATAGTTATCTAAAGCAAGTGCAAATCTTCCAGTTACTTAGTCAGAAAAAACGTTGTCCTTTAGCTCCACCCACTAAATTTTATTTAATCAATGAGGTCATTTCTGTTTCTGGAGCGGTGCCTCCGAGAAATGTTGCAATAATTAAATGTCCAATCTTGGATCTATTCACTTTGTTTGCAACATCCAGACACATGTACCTGTATAACAAACAGGGATTAAAACTACATTTAGCAGTACTATTATTAATATACACACACAAGGACTCCCTGTAATGTTAAAGGCTTGTTCGTACTACAGTTTCCACTGTGAATCAACAGTTCAGTCTTTATCTTGAAGCTGCTCTATGTTCATCGTTTTAGCCCCAACCGGTCAATCCTACCATACAAAACTGTGAGCACAGAAGGTCATACAAGGCCACTCTACTGCATAGCAAGAAATTGGGAAAAACCTGAATTTAAAACATGACTGATGAAAAAAGCTGAATATCTCACAAGCCAGAAAGAGCAGATATTTTAAACTACAGTCAGTGCAGAACAAACAAACGTCCTGTTGGATGTCTGACAAGGTCACTGGTTGCAAACAGAAGCCAGTAAAACTTGTTAAGACAATAAGCTGTGAAATAGTCTTTCTAAACCCTAGTGTTGTGACATTCACATTTGGGGATTTAATTCCAAACTCAGTGAAGGGAATGTATAAACCTCTATACACAAACAAATGGTTGGCAACACTGTTACTGCCAGGGAAAGACATGACTATCTTACTGCTGGAAGATGCACTGCTGATAGGAAGCTTATTGGAACTCCTGGTTGTTATCCCCGGGCTTCCTTGCTTCGCCAGTCACCAATATATGATTGCTGTGCTGTTGATGCACATGCAAATAACCATCATCAAGACGGGTGAAGGACAGCCAGTTAATGCAATGGTCGGGTCCCTGGCCACAGCATTTTTTCTCCCAGTCTGTTGGCATTACCCTTGAGTTCCCACACGCACACCAGGGTGCAACAGCAGACGGTGAGGCAGCATGCTGGTTCTGGTGGATCATCAGGGCATCAAAAACGAGCCCTGGCTCACCAGCTACTGGAGATCTCATCTGTTGAATGATTACATGGGTAAACTGTTGCAACCACATTAGCCTAATCTTTTACTTCATAAACTGTTGTCACAGAAACACGTCCTTCTAGAACCGTCCTTTCTGGGTGCAATTGTGCTCATGATATTTCTAAAATCCTACAAATCATGGATTGGACCTTTAAATCTTGCCTGCCTGATGTTGCTGCTGTCATCTCTTCCTTTTGTGTACTATGTTGCACACGTCCCGAAAATCTCTGCATCTACGGCAACTCTCCCTCAGCCTCTTCTGCCTCTGGCTCTTCTTCTGTGTACTCTGCCTCTTGGGCCAGGACCAGGATTTGCACTCTCTCCTCTCACTGTTGCTCTTCCTCTCCATTCTTTGCCTCTTGTACCACTAGAACCTGCCACTCTTCCTGTAGCTTGCCCTCTCTGCCCACTGCCTCTCGTATCATCTGCACCTGAACAGTTCTGACTGGCTTCACTTGACACCGGTGAGGACACTTCATAACTGAGGTCTGCATCGGGCTACAACAAGGAAGAACATTGAGCTACTACTCCAAAATAAATGTGAAATCATTTATATGTTATCTGTTAAACTGAACAATGTGTTAAAGGAGTCTGGAAAGCAGTAAGGCCAGAGTGTGCCAAGTGGTTTAGCTTTGGCTACCATAAACATAACCAGCATACTATTGGGTTGATTCTAAGCTAAGCTAACTGGTTGCTTGCTGTAGCTTTATATTTACCATACAGACCTAAGAGTGGTATTACTCTTCTCGTCATACTCTCTGCAAAGAAAGAAAGGGTATTTCCAAAAATGTCACACAGTTTCTTAAAGGTTAATCCCAGAATTAGGGTTGTGGTAAGATTACATGTAACATTGGAAGTGAGACTGAAGGCCTTAGTGTGCTTAAAATGAAGGGCTTGTTAAATCAACTGTTTTTGAATTCCCTGTTCCAAGGGACTGAAGTCTCTTTAAGTAAAAGAATGTTTTATAGTGTGCAGTACTTTCATAGCAACATTATCCATGAGCTGGGGATCTATATCGAGGTAAAAATTAATTCAATCACACGTTTAAACATAGACGTCACAACAACATTTTCAGCTGTGCTTTGTTTTCAAGGCAGCAGCAAGAACTAATTAAAAAGTTCCATTCATCACTATGTAAATGAGTTACAAGATCACAAAATAATGAAGTACTGTATGAGTAATGAGAAAGGTAATTGAAATCTTTTAATAACTGTAGCCACCAGGATCCTTTCTAGTTTTCATCACAGTTGAAGACGTAATGCTGCCAAGGATCAGAAATCATATGCAAATACATTTTCAAGATCAAATCAGGTTTTCCAATAACAAAGTCATCCATTCTGTGACATTGAGTGTGATGATATGTATGAATTACTCTTTGTTTCTGTGAACAACTGCTGCTACTCAGAGGCAATCTGCATATAAAAAATCCATACAGGAGACCAGGGTTTCAAGTTTTACCTGCAGATGACCAAATTGCTGAACAAGTTAACCATAGCAAAAACCTTCTTTACATTATCCTATCTGGTTGAGTTAGATACATATTTGTAAAGGCTATACAATATATATATATATAAAAAATACTTTTTAAAGGGAAGATGATTAAAGTCAAGCACCAAGTGAAATAGAAACAGTTTTGTGCTAAATAAAAATTGCATTTGGATTTGTCTTTAGATGACTTTACAGTGTGGTTAAAGGTTATATTATATTGCTGGTCTTTAGCTGAGTAGAATGACTGAAACGGCAATTTTTCCTCATCTTTGACGGTGAATAAGGTTTCTTTTTTTTTTTTTACCAAACCAGAGTTGGTAATGGTTGGAACAGAGGAAAGACTGACAGATTGGTTTGGTGAGTTTTATTTTGTTTCTGTCTACTTTAAACAAAGTTCTGATGTTACAATTATATGCAAGGTAAAGTCTGGTGGCAAGCAATAGCAATATTTCGGCTGTTTCTGTTTCAGCAAAAGAGCTATCTCTGTAGGGATCCTTTCCATACTCTTAAACCGTGCCAACATCAGTGGGCGTGTCATATTTTACAGGTCAGTGTGCATTGTGCAGTGCCCTCTGTTGATGACGCAACCTTGATAACAATGGTTCCACTCAAAACTTGTGTAAACACTGGTTTGTGAGATGGCACCGAGGTTCCAAAAACCTTGAACAAGACTAGTTCAAGAATCAAAGCTACTTTGGAAGAAAAACACAGAACCTGTAGTTTTTACTGTTGGGTTTTAGCATGGAATAAAAAAACGAGATAAAACATGCACAATTATGAGCTTTAAAGGTGATGGTAAGTGGATTTTGTTACTTTTAGACAGAGCCAAGCTTGCTATCTCCCCTTTCTCAGCCTTTGTGTTAAGCTAAGGCTGAAGCTTCATATTTACCTTATAGATCTGAGAGTTGTTATCAATGTTCTCATCTAACTCTTGGCAAGAAAGCAGTTTAAAGTGTTGAAATAATAATTTAAACTTAAGTTCTAAATGAACTAACCTCTACAATTTCAGAGCTGAAAATGTCCACTGTTTGAATGTCCAAAGTTGGTTCTCATGAGGACAGAATCAAAGCATCCACCAACCCACACACACATTGCAAACATACACACAGTCGGTAGACCTGGCAGAAACATGGATTGGTGCCATAATCTGTGGACGCCACATTTCTCTGGGCGCTGTGACATTGCAGAACTTTGGGAGTTTCACACCCTGCTTTCACTGTCTGCAGAGGCTGAGGCTGTGTTCCCACACTGCTACACTGGTAAGTGTTTTATATAGCTGCTTTCATGTCAGGTTAGAGAGAGCTCTTCACATGCTGCATAGTTTCATCTAGCTGTTTCAGAACACAGGGGGATCTGAGTATATTGTAGTGCTTCCTCTGATGTTAAAAGTATAATTTGTGCATGTAAAAAATCTGTTCTTAAAGCTCAGTGACACAGACGGCAGGGCTAATTCTCTGTGACTGGCAGCCAGTACTTACGGATCAGTGTAACGGACGATCTTAAAGGACAATTTGAACTGTTTGAGAGGTGAAAACGAAGTGGACAGACATCTGGAGAATCAAGTGTTTCCGAAGTGTATTGACAGCCTGGTCAGGTAAGTGGCACTCAGCAGGACAAAAACAGTCTGACTGTTTAAATGAGCTTCATCCATTCCAATTTAGATCAGCTTCAAGTCGAGTGGGAGAAATCAAACACACCTCAGCCAGTTCAAACAATAATCAGGTATTAGTGTTTTTACTGATGAGAAGCTGCTCTTTGTTTCAGAATGTCACTGCAGCATGTGGGCACCTGGTTTGTTGCTCTGCTTTCCTTTTGATGTTTCAAAGGATTGTTTTTGAAGACTGTGGGCTTTAAAATAGGATTAGCTGCAGATAAATGATAGATTTTCCATATCCCTTTGGTTAGTAAGAAAGTAGTAAGTATTTTGGCAAACAATTCAAGAAACAATTTCTTTTGTATTTTCTTCTTACTTCTTCTAAGTTCCAATTATTCACAGAGACCTTAACTTTCCCCATTTTTATTTAGAGAAAAGCTTTTCAATATGTCATCCATTTTGTATCTTTGCTTGCCATAATATGAGCCTGGTAGTCTTTTACACATTTGTTTTTTCAGCTTTTAAAAGGCTATTATTACAATTGATAACTTTCAATGATGGAAGTTGTGAAGAGACACCGGTGAGATTGTAGCTGTTTGAGGAATTGTCCCTGCATATCTGTGCGCATACCCATATTTATTGGAGTTAAAGCATGACAAACATTATTTTACATGGAATACTGTGCTTTTTAACTATAACTGAAAAAAACATCATATTAATACTATAATTTCATTAAAAACGAAGCACTATGCTTAACAAACAATAAAAATACACAAAAACACAGATGCAAGAAATAGAAACATTAAAAACATAGCAGGTGGTATACTTTTTAAAAGAGAAAATAAATGACAATATAATTATATGGATGAAGAAACAGTCAAATGGTCTTGGTAAAAACATTTTTGAAAAGATCATTTTTGAGTTTTCTTTTAAAAGGTGTAATTGAGGAGCACATGCTCAAATAAAAGTGCATTATCTTCAAGGGGGATTGCTCAGCATGCTAAATCATTTGATCCTTGTTTTTCAGCATATCCTCCTACCAGCTTTAATACATGTGAGTGGTTATGTGAGCCCAAGTGGTGAGCTTATTACTCTGTGCAGTGGCAGGAAAGGAAACTCCATTTGTGATTTGAAGCACAGGGGCATTGTTCATGGAGATGCAGTTGTAGTGTTAGGGCTATCGTATTCACTCGATAGTTCACCTGGTAAACATTGCTCTGCACTCTGTTTTGGAATGGAGAAATATATGTCAGATTAGTAAAAGATGAGTATTTTCATTTTATGCTTTCCAGTCATTATAATGATAAATCCAGTAATACAAAATATACCATTCACAGGGGCTATTTTTATGACTATTGAATACATTTATCTTTCATACTTGTCTTTGATGACAATTAACCTGTGGAGTTTTTTATCCTAGTTGTTGCAGAGGTTTTCAAGTTGGTTGTTGTATTGTCTCCATTGGTGCAAGCCAATAAAGACAAAAATGAACATCGGAGAGCACGTGGGCAACCCAATCCACCAATTCCCCACCATGTTACTGGTTAAGAGTTAGTGGCAGTTACAGGCATAGAAAGCCAGCAAAGGCTGCTGGCAAGAAAGTATGGATGTAAATGTTTATCTGAAGCTAATTTGATGCTTTAGCAGTCTGAATTAGACAAATCAAGTGGGTGTCATCCACAGTTACAATCTTTCTGGTACCAAGGAGACTATCCATAATGTAAAGCTGTTTTGATCTTGTCATGTTACCATAGTAATGGAATTGTTAGGTTGGTCCTCAATATTTGGCTCTAAATAATTATTCAGTCTTTTTAGATAGCATTTGTATTTCAGTACACACAAGTCTTGGGGACACAAACACATAGACACATACATACTAAAAATCTTGGGTTACTGAAGGTATTTTTCCCAAGAAAAAGGGAGACAATTTGGTGGAAATTTCTGTGAAATACAAGGATCTAAATTCCTGAGATTTTAATATCTAAAGAATATATCAAGATCAGAGAAAAATCTAACGCAATTTTCCCAATCAATATAACTGCAACTGCTTTCTCAATACCAAGGCTATCTCTTTCTCTCTCCTCTACAACCTTCAGTCTTCAGGGATCATGAATCACTTAGTGTGGTGGATGCTGGTTATCCTATGGATGGTGCAGGCTGTGGAAGGCTGTCCCAGTGTCTGTAAATGCTCCAGGAAGTCCGGTTCGGAAAAGACAGAGGTCAACTGTCATAAGAGGGGGCTTCGTGCCGTTCCCTCCAAACTGCCCGGTGATGCCTGGATCCTTAAACTAGGTGAGTACCTTAAGGTTAATCAAATCACCCGTAAAATTGTTTTGACATTCAAGACTCTTGATAATTGTGACATTTACTGTAAATAAACATAAGCTTTGTGGGTTATCTGCATCTGCTTTGTAAAGGTGAGAACGGTATCACAGACCTGAAGGCCGATGCTCTGAGCTCTATTCCAAAGATTGAGAGTGTCAACCTGGAACGAAATGCCATCAAGTCCATCCACCCACAAGCTTTCTCTGGTGCGAAGCAATTGATGCTCCTCAATCTTTACGGCAACCACATCACCAACCTTCCACCGAGGGGATTCCAGGTAGAGTCTGAAAAGAAATAGATTAAGTGTACAACAGTCACATTGTAATAATCTGACCACAAAAACTTGTTTCTTTCATGTCTCTAGGACCTTCTGAACCTCCGCTTCCTCATGCTGGGACAGAACCAGATTGGCACCCTTAAACCTCAGATGTTTGCAGGAATGAAGAACTTGTCCGACTTAGACCTCCCTCTCAATGCGCTGACAATGCTTCCGTCTAATGCCTTTAAGCCTCTAATCGCCCTCAAAGTTCTGGACCTTTCCCTGAACCGCATCCAGAAGATCTCTCCTAAGGCCTTCACTGGACTCAGACAGCTCATGTTTCTCAACTTAGATAATAACAGGTCACATCAGACACGTTTTTTAGTGGATAATTCTATAGAGCTAGCAACGTATTAAATTGAATGATGCCATTAGTAGAAAGAAAAATCTAGTGCAAGTATCATACTAGGATGTTAGAACCACTCCACTATCCCTGCGTTCATATTGGATGATGTTAGGACCAACAAGTCCTTAATTGATAGCAGAGTTGGGTTGATTGGCTAATATATCAGGAATTGTCAGTTGTTGGGCTGCCAGTTAACCAAATAGCCCAACCCTAGTGTATACCCTCATACTGGATGAGAAAAAAACATGTTTACGTCCATTTTAGATACAGTAGTTGTACAGTATATTGATGTTGATTAAGGAATTCTGCCTCTCTCTGCAATCCAGTCTGAAGACCATTCCCGCTGGCGCATTTGGGCCACTGCAATCGCTGGAGATGCTGGTTCTAGACAACAACTTTCTGTCCACACTAAGCCCATCAGCTCTGGATGGCCTGGGCAACTTGCAGGTGATGGTTTCTTGGGTGTATGCACAAACAAAAAATCTGATGAAAAAGTGAAATTTAATCACTTTAATTCATCATTCATTGATCACAATCAGGTGGCCTTACTGGTAAACATTTTTATATCCACTTGAATTTAGCCAGCACAATACTTGGTTGCTCATAGACTGTATTACACATATGTTTTGTCAATAGCATTTGTCAACTAAATGCCACAAAAATAAACGTTCTGGATATTGAACCAGGAACTCTACCTGAGGAACAACGAGCTAGAGCACCTGCCACCTGATGTGTTCAGGAACATGGCCAAGCTTTCTCAGTTGGCTCTCAGTGGAAACCGCCTGAAGACAGTGGATGGAAACATGTTCGCCCATATGCCTGGTAAGAAAACACTCGCCTTTTCACTGTCCCAATTTACAGGAACAAAGGAGTGACTCATAATAGTAAAGGTAGAAATGATTACAGTGTTACTGATGCCTGAATGATTCATTTTTAGTGATCAGTATTATTTTCTCTCAGACCTGAAGAAGCTGCACCTCCATGACAACCCATGGCAGTGTGACTGTACCATCATCTCCTTGGTGCAGTGGATGGGACAGACCACGGCTACCCTGTCGCCTCGAGACGCCCTGAAATGCGGTAGTCCTCCGGAGCTCAGAAACAAGAGCTTCTCCAGCCTCCAAGCTGACAAACTGCTCTGCCCCGCCTAATCTCAAAAAACCTGGAGGAAGACCGCAGCGTGGGCAGATGATGAACTTTTACTCAAAACTGTTTTTTTCCACATACTGGGCTAGTGTTTGTAAAAAGTATGAATACTTTCTTATAGAGTTGCAGTGCAGTCAATACATTTCCCTGTAGGATAGTGTCCTACTCCTCCTCTTCCTTAAGAGCAACATATTGATGTTTTCAACTAAAAACCCTGCATAAAACATCACCTTTTAGAAACTTTGGCTTGACCACGATTTATTTTTGAGTTTAAACCCAAAAGATATATCTGCAATTTCACCGTTAGACTGCAGTTAAAGCATGAAAATCACTAAAAACTAGAGTTATGAGGTTTTCATTGGACTTAATGTGTGTATCACTGTTGCATTTTCCAACAGCAAAGAACAAGTCCCTTATCTACAAATTCAACACTGAGATTAATATTATAATCTCATATTGCTTGTCACACAGAGGCTATGCAGGTTTGGAAAGTGACGGATTACATGCAATGGGATTATATTAATCCGATTCCAGGAAATGGTTTCTGTAATCTTTTATAGTTAATGTAAAAAAGAAAGGCTAGTGAGATGATAGACACTGCCAGGATGTGCAAAGCTAAAACTAAAAGTGATAGCTGTAGATAATGTAAATTCATTGAAATTGTAATAAGATTAACGTGAAATAAGAAAGATGATTTAGGTTGATGTATAGCCATGCAGCCCAGCAGTGATTCACTATATGGCCAAAAGTACGTAGACACCTGAACATTTCAACCACATGTGGGTATTGAACATAACATTCCAAAACAATGGGCATTCCTCCTCATTCCTCAGTCAAGTTAGATTTCAAAATAAAGCTTGCATGGTTAACGTTGTGGAAGACTTTGGTTTAGCTACAAAACGAACTGGTTATGTTTTAGGAAAAAGATCATGAAGTACGTTACGTACCTTATGTAACTTAAATCTACTACAAGGAGTTTTCAAGTGGTTATTAAACAGTGTAAATTTCATACTGATGTCTCTATATGACCTACATAAGCAAACGAGTTGGCAAATGGGTTAAAGTCGATCTCCATATGCAGACTTTCTGGCTCTTTATACTACGTCTGGCAGGCATGTCCTTAAATGATGCTAAGGGTCACCTACAGCGTCTTATTCTGAAGCAGAGGCCATTTTACCAAGCAGCAGTATTTGAAGAGTTGGGAGTGAGACTGGCCTTGTTTCTCAGAGTTCCTGGTGCCAAAAACAGTACCTGCTCTGAGGGTAGTACTTTCCAGGGTTTGCAGTTCTAAACTTCACTCATCGAACAAGAACATTTATGTAAAAAATGTGTCTCAAAATCTGCTGTGTTTTTTGTGTTTAATTGTCCAATTAGCAAGGGTTCTTCAGGTGGGGTGGAAACAAAAAGGAATGCACAAAAGTGACTTCAGCTCCCAAGTTTGGTTCCTGTTTTGAGGAATAAGGGTCTGTAGCCTTGACCATGAAAAGTAGATCCTGATCGAAACTACACATAAAAGATGGCCACATACTTACTTACACATACTACACCATATAGTGCATAAAGGCACTTGCACAAAGAAAAACACAACTGCTGCTACAGTGCTTCTTCCCACTAACCTCGTCTGTCAGTGCACCTGCATCACACTTCACACTATTGTTTGCTATTGTTGTATACTGCAACCTTCATCATACCTGCCACTGTCAGAGACATGCTCTTCAGGTCCACTAACTCATCACCGATCTTCCACAGGAGGGAAAGAGGCAGAGCAAGCAGAGAAAGCGATAGTGAGATCAGTTTATGGAGAGATGGAGAGAATAGGAGGAAGAATGTAGCGCGTAGGGGTGACAGGAGGGCTGGCAGGGTTGAGATGGGAGACGGAGGATAGCAGAGCATGATATCTTGCCTTGAGCTTTCTGTAATTGACAAGGCGACTCCCATCGACCTCCTCGCACAATGACTTTGACATGAAAACGCCAGCGTCTCCCACTTCGGTGGGGGAGATAATCGCCATAATTTCCACCTGCATTAAACCTGCTATTATAGGAGAGCGCCTAAGAACAATATAATAGCTAGGTTTTGTTCCGAGCTGCAGCTTCTCTCGCCTCTCTTGATGGCTCTGGCATGTCATACAGCAAAGTCAAGATTTTTTTGTCCTCCTCTCCGTTTCTTTTTTGGTGTGTTTTTTTAAATTGGCTGTTGCTAAACCTATCATCTTTAAAAAAGGCTCACTTTGATTATTGAGACCGTACAAACATCTCAGCCGCTCACAAAATAAAACATTTCACCCATATCATAATTTCTTACACATGTGTAAAACATGTTTTTGTGCCCTGGGTATACGAGATTCTGTGTAACATGCACCAAAAATTTAATAATGGATTATGACTAGGGATGCTCGATATTGGCTTTTCTGCCGATAGCCGATATTCCGATATTGTCCAACTCTAAATTTCCAATACCGATATCACCCGATACCGATATATGCAGGCTTTTTACACCAAAACTGTTAGGTAACAACATAACATATCTCCTATTGTGGAATTAACTCATTATGCCTAATGTTATTGTGATGCCCCACTGGTAGGGTGGCCATTTCCTTCACATCAAAAAGGAGGACACTTTGCATACACGGGGACACGCAAGCAGATATTTGTTTGGTTTGATCCGGTTTTAAATTTTAATGTTTTTCCACCAGATTACATAAAGGTGCATACACATACCACATAGCTAATAATAAATATACAAGATACAGCTCATGACAACGTGCCCTTCCAATTCAGATTACATAGGTCTAATAAACATCATACAGAAACTGTTCTTAATGTTTTTATCTGGATAGATAAAGGGTAAAAAAAATACAGCACCTTCTGTTTCACATATAAGTATGAGCATTTTCAGAATTTCAGTCTAACAACCAAGTTAACTAACATTCTCTGTCTGAGAGCTTGATTGACAGCCTGGTGGCAGCAACTGCAGTGACAGGGTGGCAATCAACACATGGCTCATTTGAATATTAAAATGAGCCATGTGTTGATAGGTCACCACATTTTGACACACATTTTTAGCCAATAAGTATTAAACTAACGAGGTAATGTGTCAAAAGGCGGACCTTTCTAGTTATTTTCTCAAAAGGAGGACAAATGAGTGTCCTTAAGGCTTCAGGGTGTTTAAAAGCCGGACGAATGGCCACCCTACACTGGATGCATACATAAAAGCAACATGGCTTTCCAAATGTAAACACTGTCTGTCCAAAATAAGAGAACAACTTCAACTTTCATTGTATTAATACTGAAAAGAGCACTAACGCTAATCGCTAGCTACACGCTAATCGCTAGTTAAGCATTAGCTTTGGTTAATGGGTTTAATTGTATTATTCACCTGAAGGAGTGCTAATGTAAATTCTAAGCCAATTGTTAGTTTGGTTAAGGAACAGCTCATAGCAGGGTATACTATTTAAGGTGCATTGCACTTATTATGTGTTAATATTAAAATCATTTAGCTTTAAATTGTTTGTTTGTTAGCCACGGTTAGCAACCAACCAGTCTAGTAGTTGTTGTTGTTGTTGTTGTTATACGTCGTCTAGCGCGCGCCGGTAAACGTCCCATGCTGCGTTCATGCAGGCTCGGAAAGGCTGAAGCCTACAGAACAAACATCGGTTATAAAAACCCGATACCGATAATTCCCAATATTAAATTGTTTTGTGAATATCCCTAATTATGACAGTTTGTTTAAGTACAATATCCCATTACATACTACACGCATGTTTTTAAATCATTCATGCTGTTGTGTTTTGTAAGGATTTCATGGCAATGAAACATGCTTGGTAGATAAAAACTGTGCAAACATTCCTGTAAAATAGCTGGATGGATATGTTGCTTGGCAATTCCCCCACTATGATCTGTTGTCCCTTGAAAAACATCAATGATTTGATGCCAAAAATATTTACTGAATGGAGACACACATTGCATCATTAGAGGCATTCCATGTAGTCTTATTTCAAAGAATCTTTTCAGAGAGCAGATATGCTGCTGCTGCTGCTCAGCACTAAATCACTCCACTTCTGGGTCTCCTCTTAAAGGGAAACTTCAAGTGAGGTTCAGTTCTGTGTGTTAATACTGTATGTGTGTGGTAAGCATAGCTAGGCAGAAATATTCATAAAACAGAGCTACCCCACTCCAGGTCACTTGTGGACTATTTACATAAAGAATCTGAATTTATAGAAAGATACAAAGAATTAAAAAAAAAAAATCTCTTGATAACTTTTCTTAGCTCATGAGCTTGTTGTCCACCTGAGGAGCTTAGTTTCTCTGTTCTACAGGAAATAATCTGACTAAGTTGAAGATGCACCACACAGTATTTTATATTAAAGGTCCAGTATGTACCATTTAGGAGGCTGTATTAGCAGAAATTGAATATGATTTTCACTGGTATGTTTTCAGTAGTGTATAGTTACCCCAATATAAAAATTGTTATGTTTTCAACATGTTTCTACAGTAGCCCAGAAAGGACCAACCAAACAACGGCTCTAGATAGAGGCGTTTTTTAAGTGTTTTGCGGCCACTGTGGTTTCTCCTTGGAATAGCAGGATGAAGCGACGGAGTTGCAATCTGCACTATCCTCCACACTGGACTTTAACAATGGATCTAATGACTGATGACTGTGTGTATGTGAAGAGTGTATTGAAGCACATTAATTAGCAGGGTAACACTTTATAGTAAGGATGCTAATCATACACTTGGGTAATGCTTATTGAATGCATGACTCATGATGATTTAATACATGATTTAATGCAGGATGTATTATAAATTCCTGTTTCTCAAAACTAACAAATTTATTCATTAGTTGATATGCGACCAATTAGAGGTTACATGGTCTCAGCCTCTGATAAAAAAACTTTTTTTCTATGAGAGTAGACACAATGGTATATTTGATACATTTTTACAACATATTGGAGTATGTTATTATTATTATTATTATTATGTTATGACATAATAATTATGTTGTAAATGTTGTTTATTCTAATGGGAATATGATCATACTGTTTATATCAGAGGCTGGTGGACCTGATACAAAATTTTGTGTAACTGGAATTCTGCTGATTTGGCAGTTGATGTATGAATTAAGATTCCTTAACTGATAATCTATTAAGGAACATAATTCCTATGTAAATGATTTTTCAGAGGAACAGGAAAAAAGACATTCCCAATACGGATCTCTACCAATGCATGTACTGTCCCAAATGAACCCCAATGTTAAAGCTGCGTGTTACTATTAGGTTGGAAAAAACACTTCTATTTAAATTTGGTGCAACAAAATTGCTCTGTTTCTGCTAATATCTCACTAACAACTGATGATTTGTTCTAACAAAATGAGGCACATGGTGGGCAGGTAAACAGTTTTCTCTCTATCTCTACCTAAAACTTACATGCCACCAGGGGGATTCAATTGTTTTGTGCTAACAAGGGAAATGCCTTCCTCTTCCATCCCTCTCGTCAAACTGTTCCCTGGATAAAGCAGTGGAGTGCTCGCTGGAAGGCCTGGGACCACTTCGGCTCGGTTAGACTTTTAAATGCACGGCACAGAGGAGAGAAAATAGCTAATGCTGCCTCATACCAACAGGGATACAATTACAGATAGGTAATTTCCCTCTTGTACATGCTTTTGTCTGCAGAATTTGCCTTGTAAGGTTAGTAGAGACTTTATGTTCTATATAAACAGTTGGGAAGAGGATTTAGAGAATCCAACAGAACACAGGGGTGTAAGGATGAAAAGTGCATCACACATGAATTTATTTATGATTTTCTGAGTCTCTAACATCCTACCTTAGCCAAAAAGTACATGTGCTTTCTGCCTGTCCACAAAAATATCTCCCCAGCTGCTCAATGGAACAACTAACTGGGACGCTCAGTAGGACCTTTGTGGGACAAACTATCCTTTGTCTTGACCCAGAAAAAGCAACTTACAAGGCTCATTTTCATGTGTTTTTGGCATCAAACTGAACATTGACAT